CTTTGCTCGTTCCGGTGCAGAAATATACTTCGGAATGCCTTCCTCCTGTCGAAGCTTGTGATATTTTGTTATATCTTGTGCTCGAGACCAGCTTCTACACTAAGGATCAATTCAAGGATTTCCGAAGCCTATTTGCCTACAATCAAATGGTTTCTGGTTTTGTTACAAGTGTTCTTGGCAAAATAATCCAAGATAAATTTGTTGTTCTCGCTAAAGTAAGGCATTGGCAAAGGATGAATGACCCCCACCTGCAGCTCTGGATCATAAAAACCACAGAAGGAACTGTTGTTTCAGTGCATTGTGCGGGATGTATGGCTGGGCTGGGAGAAAGCTGTTCTCATATCGCGAGTGTTCTTTTTTATTTGGAGGTCTGGACAAGATTGAATGGAAAACTTGCATGCACACAGGTAAAATGAACATGGCTTTTACCTTCTGCAGTAAAACAAGTAGAGTATGCGAGGGTGAATAATATTAATTTTGCGTCGGCCAAGAAAATAAAAAGTGAACTTGAGAAGTCAATAGAATCTGTCAATTTCTCGAGCACTGAATCAAGTTCTGCAGCTCTTATTCGCTCTCCAGGCTCATTCACCGTTACAGCTTTCCTTTGCATAGCTTCCTGCTCCTCACGTTCTCTTTCGCATTTTCTCCTCTTGGTAATCCTTTGTGCTCTTTCTTGTTCTTGTTGTTCTTTCCTCTCGTTGGATTCCTTTAGTCTGTTGTGCTCCAGATGTAATCTAGGAACCCAGTCTGGGTTTAATCAATCCCATAATTGTGCTGCTTTTCCCGAATGAAAGTGGATACCGCAAACCCCGTCATTTTCTAGAATTTTCTACGTCAAGTCAGCTTGACTAATGGCAGCTAACCACCGAGTTTGCCTTTGGGTGGACAAAATCTCGGTTTCTTCCCCTTGATTGGTAACAATGTTTGGCACCTGACAAAAGCAAAGCCCTGGATTCTTCTTTTTGTGGTTAGAACAGCCAACAACGGGGCAAAACGATGGCATCCCTCGAGAAATTACGCTTTCAAATAAAAAAACTTGCCACAAGTGCTATATATTTTCACTCCTCCAACACGGCAGCCATAAAATTTCTCTGACGTCATAGTCATGTGACCGCAAACACTCTATTCTTGTAACTTATTTACAATGAAAAGTGTAGCAACTTGAGAGGAGAATTAAAACTTTGATCTTAGGAAGTAACGGGTTAAATATTACGTGTAGCAGCAAAGTCAAAGTAATTGTACCTTTTGCTTGGATTCTGATGATAATCAGCCAACATTCTGACAGGTTGTACTTCTGCAGGAGAAGCTGATGTCACTTCATCTAAGACAACTCTATGCTTACCCTGAGTCAGAGAAATGTATGCAAGGCTGAGTCATTACATGCCCATGAAAAAATTAACAAAAGAGTTACATTGAGAAATGGTTGTTAAAGTGAGTGGAGCTTATCTGGGTGTCAGTAACATGAAGCAAGAAGGAATGTGGCAACTTCCCAATAGTTGGGATGCCACATCTTTCCTGGGTTACAAATGTATCTTAAGTACTGTGTATCATTGATTGATTTATTGATCTATTCGCCACTTGAAGAGGGATGGTATCATAAACATTAACATATATAATTGTAATTGAACTGAGTGGAGTGCAATTTGTATGGGTAATTACATGATTTCGAGTGCAATTTGGAATAAATAAGCATGAGTAAATTTTTTAAAAGACTAATAAAATTGCATGAGCCCGTAGGGTGTGTGCAATTTGTGATCTTTGAAAAAATTTACAAGTGATTATTTATTCCAAATTGCACAAGAAAATCATGTGATTATGTATTAATAATACACATGAAAAAATACGAGGTAGCTTCTCATAACTACGCAGAAGAAAAGAGCAGGCATCAGGTGCAAAAATAATTTATTCAAATCCTGCAAGTGACATTGACCTTGACCTTGACCAATCATTATGACCATTCAGAGTGTCTGGTTTGTCTCTTTCTTTGCACTGAACTAACCCTCTTCTGCACTGAATTAACTGAAAACTGCATTCATCTTAACCAATCAGAACTGAGAAATTTTTTCATGTATATTATTAGGGCTGAAATCATACACATGACTTCAAAATCGAACGAGCATGCAGCGCAAGTTTGATTTGAAATCGCAAGTACGATTTCAGACCAAAATTGCACGACACAAGGTTCAATTACCACTTTGTTACATCCATTTTGAAATCGCCCAAATACAGGACTCAATTCAAATATATTACTGATACAGTACTGAGCCAGTTTTTAAATAAAAGCGGAGCCGAAAAAATTTTACATCTTATTTTGTATGCAAAACAGGAAGACTTTGATGTCATGTGTCAAAAACTCAGTCAAGTGTAAAATGATGCGATTTAGAGCAAAAAATGGTATGATTCGTGAATAAATCGCACCAATTAGACCCAATCAGATTACAGGGACCACCAGTGATTTCAAAATGGATGCAATAAAGTTCTTAATCCTTGGTGATTAACATCATTACATATAAGTTAATAATACATTTTGGATAACAATATTATAACAGATGGCAAGGGGGCCCTGCAAACCACCAGCTTAACTGAGGGAGGCCTCACTGACTATGGTAACAAACCCAGTTCATTTGGCATACAGAAACATTGCCATTAAATGTTCAGCATGAACATGCATGTTTCAAAGAGGTGGACTGTCTGTTGATTTGAACATGATCTGATAAACAGTTTGTTTTCCGTCTGCTAATATTGATGTATTTTGCTAAATTTTATTGAAAGTCATGCAATCCGCCTCGATTAGCGTTGCTACATGCGGGTTGTATAAATTTATAAATCTGTTAAATTTGCTCGTTACAATAAAAAGGTGTGTGTGCGTGCTATATCAATATGTGGAAAGAAAAAGTTGGAATGATAGCTCACAAAGAGAGGAAACACATAGAGAACTGAATGACTCATTGAACTAAAGATAATATCCAACAGGTTCGATAACAGCGATTTTATTCATGTGTATGTAGTACATGTGTTTCACTCTAGAGCTGTATCAGGTCTATATATCCCGAAAACGTTGCAACATTATGTATCTAATGATAGGAAGAGTCACTTACCTGAGCTGTATAAGCTCTGTACATATAAATATCTTTTTCAATGGCCAGTTCACGGGAAGAAGGCTGTTAAAGACAAATCAAATGAGTTTACGTGCGTTACATTTCACCTCTCAAAAGATGACAATTTCAACAGAAAAGACTCAAAGCGAAGCAACCGAAGTGAACACGTACGTGTAACTTCTGAGCTTCATTTACACAAAACTGATAGTTGCCGATGTAAAAGGAATTCTTGATTTCGAAGAGTTCATCCACGTCACCACTAGCCGCCATGTTGTTCTTCTCCTTCAACGTTCTGACTTGTGCCCAGGAGCACCGTGTCATACTTAACCCGCAGGTTCACATGGGAGTATTCTTTCGAGAGCAGAGACATTTCAAAGAAAGCCAGAAAAGATCCCCAAAGGAAAGCGAGCAACGATAACAGATGACGCCTCGAATCAATAACACCTCTTTGTTAGGGAAACTCAAAATCAAAATTTACGGTCATACAACGTTCAGTTCCTCCAAATCCCAAGTTATTTCTCGCTGGCTACGAGAAGCTGGCACGAGA